TTAAATTTTCACGAGTTCAAAGAACTTACTGTTATGAAACCAGACGACTTATCACGGGCACCTCCATTTTAAAACAGTTATCATCCTCACACTAGGTTTTAATATTATCCTCTTGCCACCTACATGGCCAGCTCATCAGAATATGTTAGATTATTTTACTAACATCCTTGTTGTGTAATGCAGTATCCCACTTAACCCCCCCCCCCCAAAAAAAAAATTCCGTCTGACACATTTTAAAATACTTTCGTGAGCATTTTTGTTGTTGTGAGACTTGCAATATATACTTTTTCGGTTCTTGTGGGTTATCGGGACACACCGCTTTAAAAATAGGTTAGGTTAGGTTAGTGGTTAGGTTAGTTTAGGTTAATGTGTGTGGATATATGACATATACTTGAAAGTTATTATATTTCATTTCAAAGATGACAACTAACCTAACCTATTTTTGAAGCGATGTGTCCCGATAACACACAAATACCACTTTTTATTTCAAGCTTACAGAAGCGTATGTGAAATCTTGGACACGACATTGTTACTGTCACAACGCCCACATTCTTCTGTGATCGGCAGACTAGGCCTAAAACTGACATAAGTTACGTAAAGCAAAATAATTTCACTGAAATCGCTAGCAGTATTATATACTCACTTTTTCTATCGTGCATATAAAGCAAACATTAAAACACACGACTAACTATCCGGTTCACCTTCTGAATTCTAAGATAGTCCAAAAAATATATTAAAATCCAGTTATTACCACAAAGAAAACACAAGCCATCATCATTACAAGGATCACTTGGCTAATACTGTTTAAGAAAATAATAGCTGTTTATTATAATAATAAGAAACTCAGGCAAATTAAATTATCAGAAATGCAACTTTACATCTAGATTAAGGAACTGAATGTAAATAAAATAATAAATAAGAATGATAAATTTAAATATTTTTTTTCTGAATAACCACGTGATATAATAATAAAAAATATAGGATGAAAAACACGGAAAGAAAGCATTCAATGGAAATTACTGGAAACTTAAATTGTTTCGGATATTTTACATACATTCAACTTTTATTCGATGTGCCGTGTCGGAACGCTCCATTTTATCAACAGTTATAAAATATAGCCATTCCACGCAAACAAACTGCATGGAAACATGAAAGTATTGTAAAAATAAGCAAATTAAGACTACACGGAATTAGGTAGCACTGACCAATGAATTGTCTGGTATATTAACAAACAGCGTAACAGTTCTGATGCGTTGGTAAGAATTTGACCCTTGACCTTTGAGTTACGTCAGAGTTGCTTGGATTTAATAATCTTTCCGTGGGCGAAGTGTTTATACCTCGTGTGTCACTGGGCGATTGACGAGGATCCACACCACGATTTGCAACTGGAATTTTCCGTCCGAAGACGCCACATACGGCCTCTTCTACGCCCTGAACTGCCATTTTGTTTGATCTTAAAGAAAGTCGGGCGTATAAAAAAATTGTAGTAAAATTATGAGTATCAGGTTTAATTAAAATCCTTTCAGAATTTGTCGATTTGTGCCGACAGACAGGTGTAGCAAGTAAATTGGCGAATTTTTTATAACATTTAATTGCGGACGCGTTAAAAATAAATATATCGCATTTCATCTTAAATTAAAAATCTGTCTATACTTAAGGAAGAATAAAGGATGTGCAGGAAATTTAAGAATATCAAACCATTTATGATCTGAAGCCTTCAAGGCGACGAAGTATAATGAATTATTTTCGGGCTAAAAGAATAAGCCCATCACATGTATCTGACTGACAAATGTTTGAATTTAAAAGAGAAATATTTGTTTGCCATTAAGAGCGACTATTGGTATTTTTCTATTTGTGAATTGTTTGTACGTTTTGTTCTGAAAATGTCACGCGGTTATGCAAAATTACGTAGGCCTAATGATCCGGAGAAATACAAATAGAAAGTCTTAGATATGTCCGTGAGACATCTACAAAACAAAAGAAGACTTACAGACGTAACATTAATTTCGAATCGAACTTTAGTTACAAATATATAATACGGTAAATTTTTTTCTTCCAGTAATTTAGAATGTTCTGTCGATTAAATATTCTTTTGAACATGAAGGACTGGTTTCCATTTCATGTTCAACGGGAAACGAAATTTCATAGTCTACACCGGCTTTTGTTTTTAAGAACGGAACAGTTATATGCGGCCAGGAAACACAAATTTGTTAGTTTATAATATTTTTCTCAAAACCAGCGCACGGTCTGTTGCACTTAACAGATCTTCGACCAGACATAGTCTTATGTAACAGTGGCCACATTTATTTGCTTTTAACGTTGTTAAAAAATATTCTTGCAACCGAAATTGTTTAATCCGAGAATAACTACGTGACGCAATACAGCCATGGCGACACCTTGTTGTCGTAGGCCTAAATACCACAGGCCTGTTTTTCAACGTCGAATGATTGAATGATGAACTGCAGAGGTAATTGAAGGGGACAATCGTGGTCTAACTTAAGATACTATCCCGGTATTTGCCTGAAGGAACAGAGGAAAACCGCAAGAACATTAGTCAGTATTGTACAACGCTGGAGTGGTAAATCTTCCGCTGTTACTTTCAGCAAACTGCCCCAGACAGATACAGCTTCCTGGCATCTTATATATTTTTTGATCTCTATTGTTTAAATTCTTATAAAATGTACTGTTTCCATGAAGTTCAGCTGACAATGGTCTCCTTGATTTCATTATTCTGGTAGTAGCAGTAATACGATTAATACAGGAGATAGCATCAAATTTAGGGCCGAAAGACATGTTGTGCTTTTACGCGCATTACACTGAATCAGGCCTAGCAAGTTCTAACCAGTCACAGACCTTTTCATGGTCAATCATGTCGGATATCACTTTTACTTAATCTTGTTTCAAATAAAGTTAAGTTACGACATTTCATGCAACGTCAAGATTGTTCCACAGGTATTACAACGTCTAAATTCTGACGGAAGTCAACAATTTGCTCTGTGTTATTGGAGTCAAGATTATGGCAGTGACATTGCCAAGGTTACACAGATATAAATCTTAAAACTCTTAATCCGGGTCACAGTTATCACATTTAGCTTTGCAGTTTCTCGTTGGTTTGACTCAAATGTTGTTGAAACAGCTGTGACAATAAAAACTGAATTAATGTAAGAGATGATAATGTCCGAAAAACGTTTCTGCTGATTGCCGATAACATTTTATTTCGGGAGAGAATTGGAGCCCGACAAAAATGCCTGAACTTCAAGAGAAATTTACTGAGACCTGAAAATTTATAAAACGTTTGAACATGCTAGAAGGTCAGATGCGATACATCAAACATCAAATCTCTCACGCAGAAGAATGAAACAAAAGTTCTACAAAAATAACATTTCGACGAATTAGGCCTACTGACTACGCTTAGGTATTCGTTATTTTATTTCCAAAATGCCTCGGTGACCAAATGTTAACTTCTTCCTATTTTTCACTACAATTTCAACGAACAGAAAATATCTTGCTCGGTTGTTAGTTTAAATCGTTAAATATGTGGCAATAAATTTTACCCTGTGTCCAGATGACCGGCCTATAATTTTCTGCATTTTAAATCAACAGGCCTACATGTAAGGAACTGACGTTCGAATACAGAAATAGGCCTATAGATATAAGTTTCACAAAATTTGTACAAAAACATCTAGGCTAATTTGTTATTTTCATTATGAAAATTAAACTGGTGCTTCTACAGCAGGTTTCATATGACATAAATATTTTTTATATAATAATTTGTATGTTTTATATTGATCCGTGGTTATTAACACATACCACACTAAAATATACTCAGAGGATGATATATAAAAGATTTAATTGTAAATTAATTCTGCTGGAGAAGAAAATCTCTATTTCTCTTTACAACTCGGCAGTATAAAGTAGTCTGTAAACCCAATTTTATATTTATACTTCAATTATATATTTGTATTTGCTTTTATTTTAAAAGTTTCTAGCATTGACGTCAGAATTCTTCGCTCCAAATTTTGAGAAATGTACGAAATGTCCAGATATTTTTAGGCCTACCAACAGATTGGGTGGAAAATGAAATGGACTATCTTTTTAGGAGCTTAGTATCTGCATTTTACACTTTGGTTTATTAATTATTTGTGTTTTACTCTTATGCAGTTCAAGTAATGTAACATAGGCTATTTATACCTGTCAACTTAAGTTATAATTTGTAGATAGCATGTAAAATAAACATGTAAACATACGGAGGTTAAAACAAACATAAACCTATATACGTGGAAACATTTATTCTCTCTACCGTTCACATTAAGTTGTTTCCAAGCACAACACGCAGCAGCAATTCCGGGCAAACTACTGCATGCTATGAAATCAGTTCCAAAGCCACAGTGCAATGCCCAGCTTGCATGTGGCACGAGGAGTGAACAAACAGGTGATGTGCTGTACCGAAGTCTGTATTCTGTATTCACAGAACGACGGGACAAAGTCTACAAACGGCAGAAGCAGAACATGCAATTTTCAGAAGCTATTTCATTTACTTTTTCGCCTGGGCTCGACAAACATTCGAGAATACGGTGTAGGCCTAAAAGTTAGATTCGCACAAGACACACGTACACTAGACGCGGCAGAACACACCACTACGTTTAGCTCCTTGCGAAGTTTCCTTTTTTTGAAGCCAAAACTCTGTTACAAACCTTGAACACACTTTCACAAAACAGGAAAACTCTGAGCAAACTATTCATCAAAGGGTAATACAAGGGGCTTGAGGGGTGCGGAAGACTTCCCAAGAGGGGAAACTTCTATCCTGATGACCTAAATTTGCTTGTGCAGAATATTTCGCGAACGTTCCATAAGTTTATGCACACTCCTGACATCTATCGAGCTGCGTGTGAAATCATCACTTCAAGGATAGTGCACTTCACTGCCATCTATCGTCAACTCACCACTTTCAGAAGTGAATTAAACTGAAATTCACTTGTTGCGAATGTTCATAGCTTGAAATTTTGCCAACGTGGGTAGTGACCCCAGCAACAAAATGGGTCAAACACATTGTACTATCGCCTTTAAAAACATCAACACACAAGTGAAAAATTGTGGATTCTGTAAGGTAACATAAGAATTGAAAAACACTAAATATTTTAATTTATTTTTAACTCACATAGTGATTCTTCATTGACGTTGTATAAGTTGGCTTGCTGCCGACGTTTCCGAGGACCATACTTCCTGTATCATCAGGATGGAAGTGAGGAGCCAATATCATGAGATTCATCCTTCTATCAGTACAGGAAACAATGTGAGTTGTATAAAAAAAATTACTGAGCCAACTGGTTTATTTTAAAAACACTCGTAATTACATTGAGTACATTCAAATTTATCACTGTGCTTGTATCCGTATTTAAGATATGCTGCAGCATGGGAATGTTTCCAGTATTTCTATATTCTACAAACTATTGTCACACCTTATTACAGATTTTATCATTCAAATTTCTACTCCTCAGTGTGAAATAATTTTCACTGTACAGCCACAAAAACTGCTTGCATATGAACACATTTTCTGACGTTGATTTCAACAGCACATCAACGTGACTGCACTGCCATCTATTTTGATGTGATTACATAAAACAAATACATGAACATAATATTTTGTATTCAGCACAAATAATTGGACCGATAGGCCAACAATAGAACAGGGAATGAATGATGAGGAAGTTACTGTTTTAATTATATAAAGAAGATATAATTCATAGAAGTTGCAATTTTAGAAGCCCAACAATGGACTGCCACAGGCCACTGAGGCATTCTCAAGCAGAGTTTATGGGTATTTAAAGGACACACCAAATTCCGGAGACATTTACAAATACTGACGTTGATGTACAAGAACTGAGCTAAGCGTGCACTACGCCCAAATCTGAATGAAGCACTTGCCTGTCTATTTAAACTTCACAAACACAGAAGCCAAATTATAAATATTACTAAAGAATCTAACATCAAAGCCTGCACTTAGTACAAGAACAATTAACAGATAATACAAAACAGTAGCGCCAAACTCAGCATTCTGCACACGACAATTTTATTTATCACATAATTTTCTGTAATTTATTAGACCTCCTAGATGTTCATATTCTGCAACGATGTAATGTGTGACCAATTTGATTCGCATAATCTCACCACCATAAAATGCAGGAGGAAACTGTTGAATTTCTTCCAAGATTAGTATTGTCACTTAATTTCCAACCCTCAAAATATATTAGAAACATTTTGTACCAAAAATAATGAGATTAAACAAGTGATGAAGATTTACAATTACTACACCAACAAAATATTGTTAAATGTGGAATAGCCGTAGAGCTCCAAACGATCTAGATCTAGACATGAGACTCTGGTAAGTGGTCAGAT